GAATTTTTCGTTCTTATTTGAGTTGAATTGATTAGGAATTGATGAATTTATGCTTAATTGATTGATATAATCGAAGAGTGACACTTCGATCTTGCCATTGGAAACGATTGAATGTTAATTTGTTGAGTTAGGATTTGTTGATTCTACATGATTAGTCGATTAATACCCTTCTTATTGAATTAGCGCCTTTTAGAAACGAAAGGGGAGAAGTCGTAGATTACTGCTTTCTATTATTTCTTAGTTAGTAATTATTTAAATCCCTTATTATATTAGAGTGTTTAGTATTTATATTGCTTTTATGTGCTATCAATACCAGAGTTGAATTTCGAACAGCCTTCCTCGTGAGATCGACCCGGGGAACGAATCTTTCGATTCAGTACTCGGTAAAAATAACAATTTGTGCTACGACAAAATGTACTTGATAAATAGGATAATGATATCCTTTGCCAAAATTTGGGTAATGAATTCTCGTTAGTTTAGATATGACGTGAACTGTTTTATGAAATGAATGAGTAACACCATTAAATGTTTTAAGTCAGAAAATGAATTTTGAAAACTAAACTTGATTTTTGGATAAGCTATTAATTATTCTTTACAATCAAAGTGAGACGTTACACGTTGACGTAAGACCACTAATAAAAAGAAAGTACACATCTACCCTATGCTATTTTTCACACATCACTCAATTGCATCTATCAAGTCATATCAGTTTGATGTAGTCAATAACATATGTCATTATAAAATCTTTTGCAACTCAAATAAAATCAATAACATTCCTTCTCATAATAATTGCAACACGAGATGTCCATAGAAACCATGACTGGTCTGTAACCCAAAATCTTTAAACCCAAATAATGCAAAGGAACAGTCACATCCTTGATGTTTAAATTAACAGAAAAAAAAAATAAATACGAGCAAACAAAAAACTAAAGAGCAATGCAATGATACTGATATTATTGAACATTATTGTGGAAGAGGTTTTTCACGATAGCTTAACCTATAATGTTGAGAGATTGGATTCATATTGCGCGTATCTTGGCAGCAGTGAGCACTCGTTTCTTGATCACGGAGGTCGGGACCGAATCAATGTTTTCAGAAATTTGTGAGCACCATTCACAAGCTACACATCCAATGCATAATCCACATTCACCCACTGTTTGATCATCGCCAAAAAGCCATTGAAGTTCGTTGACGCCCAACAATGTAGTACGCCTGCGCAAACGGCTCGGCCTACAATGCCACATATTTTGCACAATTTCAAAATATGAACTGACAGCTGAATTCTTAAAAAAAAATGTAGATGGGTGCAACAATTATACATTTAAGACTTCATCCTAATTCAATGAAGGATTTGTTCCATTTTCTAATAGAAACCCCGTCCCTTTTCTAGGGTTTTCGTTCCATCGGGTGTGGAAGTATCAGATCATTCCAAATCCTTCAAAATCTCTTATTTTCTCCTTCTTTGTCTGTCCTATGGTGTCTATTTCTTTTTCTCTTATCCTTCTTTTGTGGTTCTGCTTTTTTGAGGTCTTATTTCGTATTCCGAAGTTCTTCTTGTTCGAAGGGGGCCTGTAACTTTTTAGGGTTCTGGCTCTTAGTGTTTGCGGGTTTCTTCAAGAGGTGTGATCGAGATCTAGATTCATTTCAAAGCAGTTATGGAATAGGATATCATTGATCAATTCCACAAGTTCGAATTATCGGATAAGGAAAAATCAGGAGTTGAAATAGCAGATGCGGATATCGAACCTGGGGTACATGAATGTTTGTTAAGTTTGATCGGGAGGATCGTGGGAGATAAGTGTGCGAGTATTGGGGGTCTTCGAACTACAATGACGATAGTGTGGAGACCAGCAAGACCGTTCTCAGTTAGGGTGCTTGGATCTAATCTATTCCAATTTCTTTTTCAGTTTGAGGAAGATAAGGCAAAGGTCCTGAAAGGAAAGGCTTGGAACTTTGATGGCCTGTACTTGATCCTTAAAGAGTTGAAAAAAGGCAACATAGATTTCACTGATGAAGAGATGAAAGTGGAGCTGTGGGTTCAGATTCATAAACTCCCTTTGCATTGGATATCTGCGGAGACAGGCATGAAAGTGGGGCGGTTATTTAGCAATGTCATTGATGTATTAGCGCCAGGAGTAGGCTCGAACAATGGAACAATTGTCAAGATATTGGCTGAAATCCGAATTTCAGAGCCTTTGTTAAGGGGCACTAAAATCAAATTGGTGACTGAAGAGCATTGGATCGAGTTTAGGTACGAGAATCTCCTTGGTTTCTATTTCTACTGCGGGAGAATCGGGCACAGTGAAAGACAATGTGAGGTGAAGAAGGATGATATCCAGAGGAATGTTATGAAAACTGAGCAGTATGGGGATTGATTGAGGGCTATAGGTGGTGGTTTTGGGAATAGTAGAGATAGGAAGTCCTCTAACCCTACAAATCCTTCACCTTTGACTGTTAATAGCCAATTGTTTCAATCTGGGGGGGAGATATGAAGTTCTAGCAAGAGGGGGGATAGACCCAGAATTAATGTCTGAGAATGATAAAACAAAAAAGGTGAATGAGGTAGCCATTACTCCTTCTTCAGTGCATGATAACCTTATACCAAAGGGGGGAGCTCAGAGTCCAAGTGAGAAGAGTCCTAATGTTAGAGAGGGGGTTAGTCTTGTGATGCCTATGGATGTAGAACACTCTTCAGGTTTTGAGAAGGATGTTGGTAATCTAGTGGAGGTGGTGGTTCAATCAGCCAGTTTAAAGGCTGGTACTTACAAACAACCTAAGACCTTCACTAGAATTACTAGGTCTAAAACTACTGAGAATAAAACTGAAATTGGGGCTGAGAAGGCTAAGTTAGGGTCTTCAGGTCAGGATATTTTAGTAGGTTCTCATAAAAGAAAAGCTGATAAGGCCATTGTTATAGGTGTTAGTGAGTCTGAATCTGAGTATAAAAAAATTAAAAATTTTGAAATTTCTGAGCCTTTAAATGAAAAAGTGGTGGAGGAAACCAGCCATAAATGGTCCCCAGTTAACAAATGAAAGCTATGGTGTGGAATTGTAGAGGTTTGGGAGGACCCTCTACAATTTCCCAGCTGAAGGAAAATGTAAAATCCTACCTCCCTGACTTTTTGTTTTCATCTGAAACCAAAAATAAAAAAGCTTTTATATCTACTGTTTGCAAAAATTTGCCTTTTGAGTCTAGGTGGTTTTGTGTGGATTCTGTAGGGGCTAAGGGGGGGCTTTTGTTATGTTGGTCTAAAAATGTGTCTGTTTTGGAGATTGTTAACAACTATTTCAGTTTAGAAGTCAAGTTTGCTCTTAATGGGTGTCAAGATCAAATGTGGGGGGTTTTTGTTTATGCTAGTGTTAATGTTTTAGAGAGAAGTTACCAGTGGGAGCTACTTCATAGGCATCACTTAAGATGGGGGGACATGTGGTTCATATGTGGGGATTTTAATGAATTGTTAGTAATGAAGAAAAGAGAGGGGGACTGGTGAGAAGTGAGAGCAGTTTTAATAGTTTTAGAGGGTTTCTTCAGTCCTTGGGAGTGGTGGAATGTCCAATGGTAGGGTATAAATTTACTTGGTCAAATCTTAGGAGGGGAGCTGAGTTTGTGGAGGAGAAGCTTGACAGATTTTGGGTGTCACCTGAGTGGTTCCTCAGATTTCCCAAAGCCCAGGTTCATAATATTCCTCTAGCATCTTCAGATCATAATATTTTGCTTATGGAGGTGGCTAAATCTGAAGCAAGCTCGAAGAACAGATTCATGTTTGACAATAGATGGGTGATATTGGAGGGCTACCAGGATTGCATAGTTAAAGTTTGGAAGGTGGAGCATAAAGGCCCTGATTTGTACAGATTTCATAAGAAGCTAAGGGGAATTAAAAGTATGCTGTTCGGGTGGGCTGCTAGACAAAATTCCATCTCTGCAATATTGATCAAAGAATGCAATTCTAAGCTGAAGGAGTTGGGTAGACAAGGAGGATGGAGGAATTGGGAGGAATGGCAGGAGTGTAAGGAGAAATTGCATACAACCTACAAAAATGAGGAGCTTTATTGGAAACAGAAATCGAGGGTTAGGTGGTTAAAGTAAGGAGATAAAAACACCAAATTTTTTCAAGCATGTGTTAGGCAAAGAAGGCAGAGGAATAGCCTGGATCACATTGTGTGTAGGAATGGAGTACAATGCAAAAACAGAGCAGAAGCTATTACAGAGTTAGAGAATTATTTTGTTGGGTTACTACAATCAGATTTTCTTGAATGTGATGATGCTCTGTTCCAAGGAATCCCAAGATCCATAACTGCTGAAATGAATCAAAATCTCATCAAGCCTGTGACTGAAAATGAAATCAAACAAGCACTTTGGGCCATGGTTCCTAACAAAGCTCCAGGTATTGATGGATTTTCACCCTTGTTTTTTCAATCATCCTGGGATATTAGTAAAGAAGATCTATTCTTAGCTATCTCCAATTTTTTCCAATCTGCTTGTATTCCAAAGGCTACTAATAATACTACTATTACTTTTATTCCTAAAGTTAAGGACCCCAAAACCATTATGCAGTATAGACCTATAAGTTTATGTACTATCACTTACAGATTGATTGCAAAAATTTTGGCCAATAGGCTTAAAGTAGTTCTCCATGTTTGTATTTCCCAATCACAAGCAGCCTTTGTGCCAGGTAGACAGATTTTGGACAATTGCATTATTGCTGATGAATGTGTCCATTATATGAATACCAAGCACAAAGGGAAATCTTGTTATATGGCCCAGAAGCTCGATATAGAAAAAGCTTACGATAGGATTGAATGGTGCTTTTTGCTTAAGGTCTTTAGGTTTATGGGGTTTAATGAGATCTTTTTGAATTGGGTCAAAGCTTGTATCAGTACCTCTTCTTTCTCTTTTAAATTTGGGGGGCAAAGTGTGGGGCAGGTTATCCCTTCCAGAGGTCTTAGACAAGGCTGTCCTTTATCTCCATATTTATTCATAATTGCTTCAGAGGCTTTGTCTAACCTAATTTTCCAAGCCTGTGCTTCAAATGTTCTCTCTGGGGTCAAAGTTAGTAGGTATTCTCCCCCTATATCTCACTTATTTTTTGCAGACGATGCTTTATTGTTTTGTAAAGCTGATATCAATCAAGCTCAGCAAATTTTTCATATTTTGAATTGTTATTGTGCTGCCTCAGGTCAAGCAGTTAATCTATACAAATCCAGCATTTTCTTTTCAAAAAATACACCCGAGCTTCTGAAAACCAGCATCTGTAGAATTTTTCCAGGTATTACAATTGCTAATATTCAAAATACTTTGGGCTTCCATTAGGAATTGGTAGATCAAAAAAGATACTTTTGCTTTTGTTAAAAATTGTGTGATTTCTAAAATTTCAAATTGGAAGAATCAGTTTTTGAGTGAGGCAGAGAAGGAAGTTATTATCAAGACTGTTCTAGCTACCATGCCCATATATGTCATGTCTGTCTATAAGCTGCCTGTGGGTTTGTGTGATGATATCTGTAAATGTATAGCTAGCTTTTGGTGGGGTAAGGCTGAGGTAGATAATTTCGTAACTAAATAGTCTATATGTTTTGAATTAAAATACGTGCTCGTCGGTGACCCGTCCCATGTTACAAAATGTTATTGAGATTGGGATAATTGGCGTGTATTATATGCTCGAGCTCGCTCGTCTATGTTCAATCCCTTGTTACGAAAGGTTATTGGGAGCGAACTGCTAGATGTTTAAGTGAGAGCTTCAATCTGGAATAGAACGATTATTGTCCCATTTTGCAAGTAGAACATGAATTGATTATCCCCGACTCCCTAGCTTCTCAATCTTTGTTTCGTTCACATTTTTAGGTAGATTATTGCTTTCTATTATTTCTTAGTTAGTAATTATTCAAATCCCTTATTTTATTAGAGTGTTAAGTATTTATTTTGCTTTTATGTGCTATCAATACCAGAGTTGAATTCTGAACAGCCTTCCTCGTGAGATCGACCCGGGGAACGAATCTTTCAATTCAGTACTCGGTAAAAATAACAATTTGTGCTACGACAAAATGTACTTGATAAATAGGATAATGATATCCTTTGCCAAAATTTGGGTAATGAATTCTCGTTAGTTTAGATATGACGTGAACTGTTTTATGAAATGAATGAGTAACACCATTAAATGTTTTAAATCAGAAAATGAATTTCGAAAACTAAACTTGATTTTTGGATAAGCTATTAATTATTCTTTACAATCAAAGTGAGACGTTACGTGTTGACTTAAGACCACTAATAAAAAGAAAGTACACATCTACCCTATGCTATTTTTCACACATCACTCAATTGCATCTATCAAGTCATATCAGTTTGATGTAGTCAATAACATATGTCATTATCAAATCTTTTGCAACTCAAATAAAATCAATAACATTCCTTCTCATAATAATTGCAACACGAGATGTCCATAGAAACCATGACTGGTCTGTAACCCAAAATCTTTAAACCCAAATAATGCAAAGGAACAATCACATCCTTGATGTTTAAATTAACAGAAAAAAAATAAATACGAGCAAGTAAAAACTAAAGAGAAATGCAATGATACTGATATTATTGAACATTATTGTGGAAGAGGTTTTTCACGACAGCTTAACCTATAATGTTGAGAGATTGGATTCATATTGCGCGTATCTTGGCAGCAGTGAGCACTCGTTTCTTGATCACGGAGGTCGGGACTGAATCAATGTTTTCAGAAATTTGTTAGCGACATTCACAAGCTACACACCCACCACATAATCCACATTCATTAACTGTTTGATCGTCGCCAAAAAGCCATTGAAGTTCGTTGACCCCCAACAATGTAGTACGCCCGCGCAAACGGCTCGGCCTACAATGCCACATATTTTGCACAATTTCAAAATATGAACTGACAGCTGAATTTTTTTAAAAAAAAAAATGTAGATGGGTGCAACAATTATACATTTAAGACTTCATCCTAATTCAATGAAGGATTTGTTCCATTTTCTAATGGAAGCCCCGTCCCTTTTCTAGGGTTTTCGTTTCATCGGGTGTGGAAGTATCAGATCATTCCAAATCCTTCAAAATCTCTCATTTTCTCCTTCTTTGTGTGTCTACCTCTGATGTCTACTTTTTTTCCTCTTATCCTTCTTTTGTGGTTCTGCTTTTTCGAGGTCTTATTTCGTATTCCGAAGTTCTTCTTGTTCTAAGGGGGCCTGTAACTTTTTAGGGTTTTGGCTCTTAGTGTTTGCGGGTTTCTTCAAGAGGTGCGATTGAGATATAGATTCATTTCAAAGCAGTTATGGAACAGGATATCATTGATCAATTCCACAAGTTTGAATTATCGGATAAGGAAAAATCAGGAGTTAAAATAACGGATGCGGATATCGA